AGAGGCTAGATGAACACCTTGCTGGGGTCGTTTGACACCAGTACTCTTTCCTGCCATGGCAGGGGGTCAGACTTGATGAGCTGCTCAGGTCCCTTCTGACCCTACCAACTATGAAAGTGGTGAGTGAATTGGCTCAGTATTAGGTGCAGTGATATATCAGTCCAATATTGGATCACTTGGCCAAAATAAATATCCCGTGCAGCTGCAACGCAGCAAATAGGCAGCAAGGAGCACAGCCTGGCAGCTTGGAGAGCTGCACGCAGCTGGTATATCTGTTGTGATAGAAGAGGAGGAGGCAGGGAAGGTGTGCAGTGAGGGAGGGAGTGGGGTTGGGGCAGGTGCTGCCCAGCTGGGGTGGGAGGTAGCTCCTACTGCTGCATGTACCCCGGGGGAGGGGGGCTGCAGCTGGGACAGTGCCAGGCTCTTCCCAGCACATGGGGGCCACGCTTAGGGCTATGCTCCTGGCACATGAAGACTGCACTCGGGGTAGGAGGTGGTGCTGGGAGGGGGCAAAGGTGTGGGGGGGGCTATGGCAAAATCGGGTGGCTGCAACTCCCCCTCAGCACTGCCACCACGTACCCTGAGCACAGCCTCAGCCTGTAGCTGCAGCCCATCCCATCCCTCTCTGCACCCTCCTGGGGTGTGTGCAGCAGTGGGAGCCACCCCTACACCCTTGGGATGAGCCACAGCTGTCCTGCACTCCACTTGGCCCCAGCTGGGAAGCACCTGCCCTCCCCTCCCCCACCCCCAACAGACTTACCAGCTGCCTCCTTAAATATCAGCTATCAGTATCAAAATCTCTACTGGTGCACCCCTACTTTTCAAGGGTGCTACTGCTGTTTGAAGAAAACCATTCTGCATGCCTCATCTAGCCAATTTGTTGGCACCAGTGTAAGTGAGGGTCTCCACTATACTGCAGTGGTAAAATATTTGTACAAAGGAAGCGCAGTAAAACCCTAGTGTTTAAGCAACACATATCAATCAGCCAGAGTGCTGCGAAAACTGTTATATTGAAAACCATCAACTTGTTCCAATAACACATCACCTCTTTCACGCTGATGTACTGATACACAGCCCTCTTACAGACTTCTGGTCCTGGAGTGCGTCCACCTAC